ATCAGATGTATCAGCGAATATGTTCTCCCATTCTGTGGGTTGTCTTTTTATTTTGTTCATGATTTCCTTTGCTGTGCAATAACTTTTTAGTTTGATGTAGTCCGATTTGTTTATTTTTTCTTTTGTTTCCCTTGCCTGGGGAGATATATCCAATAAAACATTGCTGTGAGCAATGTCTGAGATTTTGTTGCCTATGTTTTCTTCTATGATTTTTATGGTTTTGGGGCTAACGTTTAAGTCTTTGATCCATTTCGAATTTATTCTTGTGTGTGGTGTAAGAAGATGGTCTAGTTGTTAGACTTTTCAAAGTACCATTTTTTGGCTTTATTATTCATCTTTGGTGGTTCTCGTTTATTGTTTATATTGTTTTGTGCTCTTGTTTTTAATTTATTTCTTTGAGTATACAGTCATATCTTGGTACTTGTTGGCTTCAGAACTCATCAAACCCTGAACTTTGCACATTTTGATGAGAAAAAATGTTTCAGTACACTGCACTTGCTTGAGACTCGTCGCACTTCCTAGAACTTCTATGAGTCATGACACCAGCCCACAAGAGAAAATGCTTCATCGTTTGGTACTGGTAGGTTTTCTGGCACTTGTCGTGAGTTTCTGAACAAATTAATGATGAGTGCCGAGGTACCATTGTGTTATTATTTTTTTATAGGTTTACTAAGATATAATTATACACCATGCAATTCACCCATTGTGAATTGCCACCAGGCATTCACCTGGCCAGGGCAATGGAAGAGTTTTAAAGTAGGAGTGGGACAATAGCAGATTTTCATTTGGAAAGTTTTGCTCTGTCTCAGAAAATTGATGAGGGGAGGGAGGGTCAAGACCAGGGGCCTGGAGACCCTTAGGAAGGGTGGCAGTCATCCAGGTTTGGATTAAGAAGTGCCCGTGGGAATGGAAACCAGGAAACATTTAAATCTTGGTGATCAATCTGATGTAGGGGTGACAAAGGAGAAACACCAAGGCTGACTTCTGTTTCTGACTTAAGTGACTGGGTACCATTGGTTGTGACAGAGCAGGCCTGGGGAGGGGATAAGATAAGGGGTTCCAATCACTGTAGTTTGAGGTGCTTATGGGATACTTCTCCACCTCCTGTACTTACCTGAACCTGGCTGTCTTCAAAGGACTCAGTTTCCTCAGCCCTCTCAAGGGAAGGCTGTCTTCTCTCACATCCTGGGGATCTCAAGAGCTGGCAGGCTTAGCATCTTCTTGTTCTCCACTGCTGCTTTCCAACCTTTTCTCCTCCTCTTCCTTTCCCTAACCCTCACTCCTCTGAGGTTATGCCATCTAGGTGTACCACTTATCACTCCCTTCATTGTCATTACCTGTGGATCCATTCAGCAATGATTTCGGTTCCTGGTTCACAGTCTCTCTTTTTATCTTACTCTGGCTCTCACCCTGGGGGACTTAATTGCCCACATGGATGACCTATCCAGTAGTCCTCTCTGTCACCTCTTTGATTGCCCCTCCTCCCCTCCACACCAGCCAGCCTCTCCCACGTTCACATGAGACCACCTTACCACTCATGACCATGCCACAAATGAATTCTGTATTTCCAGCCACCCACCCATTATTTTCTAACCTTCCAGCTCACTTGCTTTAAAATCTGTACCACATGACTCTTTAATCTCATCAAGACCTCATTATTTGTACCACTTTTTCACTATTCATCAGCTCCCTCCTGTTTTTACTTTCTTCTCTACTCAGCTTAGAGAAGAGTCCATTCATACATCACTCTCTTCATACACCTTCAACAGACTTGCCTGTGTCCATCTTTCTTTCCTTTACTTGACTGGCTAACCCTCAACCTTAAATGTATCTACTATGAGCCTTCTGCTGGACATCCTAGCTGGCATAGTGTGACAAAAAAGAGACATAGTGTTTCCAAAAAAAGAAAGAGAGAAGAATAAAAATTTGGACATGTATTATTTATGTAGAAAATCAAAATAATCTATAGAAAAATGAAAAATGAGCTCAGTGAGGTTGTTGGTTAACATACAAAAATAGTTTTTAAAAATGTTTTTAATATACTAAGAAAATGCAGGCTGTCTCTATATATATGTAAATAAAAGCAGCCATTGTATCACCACAAAACTCACGGTGAACACAGTGAGTTAAAAAAAGAAAACACCATATAGACTACCAAAGCATGTTATCATACTTTAAAATACCAGACAAAGGCCCTGACTGGTGTGGCTCAGTTGGTTGGGCATCATCCCACAAAGCAAAAGGTCACTAGTTTGATTCCTTGTCAGGGTACATGCCTGGGCCTCTGACTGGGGTACATATAAGAGGCAACCAATTCTCTCTTACATTCATGTTTCTCTCCTTCTCTTTCCTCCTCCCTTTCTTGCTCTCTAAAAATGAATAAATAAAATCTTTAAAAAAATACCAGACCAAGCAAGGAAATCCTAATATCGAAAAAGAAAAGAAGAAGAAAGAAGGAAGAGGAGGAGGGGGAGAAGAAAACAGGTCACCTACAATAGAACAAGAATCAACGACAACACTGGATGCTACTAGACAATGGACCAACAGTTTCATATTTTTAAAGAAATACTATTTGGTTTTAGTCATAGAATTGTATACCCAGCTAAACTTGTATTACGTTATAGATGTTTAAAATTCTGGTATTTTTTGATATATAAGAACTTAGAAAATCTGCCTCATCAGTTATCTGATAATATGCTCCAGAAAAAGAAGGGAGTAAATAAAAAAGAATTACACTTGAGATCCCTGATGCAGTAGACAGCCTAGGAGAGCAGCCAGCAGAAATCCTAGGAAGACTTCTATATAGCAGGCATTGCCCAAAGCAACCAGCTCAGATTGGAAACATAGCAGAAAGGCTCCCAGGAGGAAGATTTCCAAGAAAAAGAACTTGACAGAATATAATGGCAATCAGGTGGGTTAGGGAAAGGAAGAACATTAATTATAATCAAGATACTGCAAGGAAAAGTAAGTATAATAATTAGAAACTCTAGCCTGCCCCAAAATCTATGTAAGGAATAAATACAATTATAATCCATTACAGCATTTGGACCTCCTATTCAACATTTTTAAAGTCACGATATTTTAAACACTATGTATTGATATAATAACATGATTTAATGTAGGAGAATAAAGGATGAAAGATAGCATAAGAGAGTTAAGTTCTTACCAGTTACAGAAAGAATAAATATATAAGGCCTAAAATGGATAAATCAAGAAAAAGCACTATATGTATATCTTTGGAATAATGGAGGTAACTACCAGAAGGAACCTCTAAGAGTTAAAAAGGATTGCCTCTGGCAAACAGGATCTAGGAATGGAGAAGGGTGTGAAAAAACATATATATATATATATATATATATATATATTTTTTTTTTTTTGGTATAAGCCTTAAAATACATTAGGAACTATGTATTTACTACTTTGATAAAATTTAAAAAGAAAGATTTTTGGCCAGAAAGGAGGAGTGTTGTTGGAAATGGATTTTTTTAAATGTTAAAGCTAAGGAAGTTTGAGAACCCTGTGAGGGCTGGGTTTGTTCTACTGGGGAAGAGTAAGCCATGTTGCAACCAGCAGCATTTTGGACAACCTGCCTATAGAGATTTCAGAGAAAGGGATGGATTCCCAAAGACTACAGTTATTTGTGATTTATTTTCTGACTCTAAATAAGTAATTTTTGAATCTTATTTAAAAAAGGTTTTTTTTTTTTCTCTAAAATGAGTCCTTCACAAGCACAGTCCGGTGTGGCTTGGTTGGTTGGAGCGCTGTTCCAAAAAGTGAAATGTCACTGGATTTCATTCCTGGTCAGAGCACATGCCTAGGTTGTAAGTTCAGTCCCTGGTTGTGTGGTGTGGGAGAGCCAACCCATGCATGTTTCTCTCACATGAATATTTCTCTCCCTCTCTTTCTCCTTCCTTTCTCCTCTAAAAATAAATACAAATAAAAATAAATGAGCTGTTCAAGTCTGGTGAACTTTAGGCCTCACAAAAACCTACATTACCAACTCCTTTGGGGTTGTGGTCCCCAAAGGAGTTCCAATACATCCAGCATGTTATTTGTTTCTTTTAATCCTTGTTCAAGAGAGAGAGGACAGTTCTCCACCGCATCCCTCCCCAACTGCCCCAGGAATTTTTATCCCAAGAATTGTATTGGAATCTGCTCCTTCTTTGACTGTTTATCTTACCTGGAACTCACAGCAACTTTAAGCCCTTTGAAGGTAGGGACACTGCTGTATTTCTGTGTTTCTATAAAGCAAAATTAATACAAGTTTTGTAAATATTGTTAAAGGAACAGACCATGATGTATTTCAGTGCCATGAGGTATTATTATTCTCCCTTCTGCTCCATCTCTTTATTGAGGCTGTTATATGCAAAGCAGAAGGCTGAGGGAATGAGCAGGTAGAGCGGAGTAAATTACTTTTTCCAAACCCTAGATCCCAAGCTTTGATTTTACATAGTAGATGCCTTTCTGAATGACGTTTTGAATCATGTATATCAGATTTTGCTAATCTTAACTCCCCTTACTCATATAATTATTAACGATGTTTAAATATTCCGTACTATGAAATGCAGAACATTTTGCTTATTTCAAGAATCTTTTGGCGCATTCTTTCTGTAAAGTGAATTATCAACGTGTGTCAAGTATATTGGGGAGTCTGCTAAAAATGAGGCACGCCAGTACTAAATTCAGCTTTAACAATGACTGATTCGCACACCACGAGTGGAGCTACATACATAGCTGTTGGACACATCAACTCCTCCTTTTGGTCCCTGGGCTCCCATACCACCGGCTTCAACCCGGAGGCTGTGTCTTGACCCTCCGCGACCTCTTTGTCATGGCGTCCGCGAGGCGTCTACCGCCTGAGGCCTTGGCAGTCGTCGGGAGTCGACCTTCTCAAGATGGCGGTGACTCGGAAAAAAGCGCTTAGGGGGCGGGATCCCGTCGGCAGAGGCGGGGCACGGAGGCAAAGGGGTAGGGCTTGCGGGCTGGCCGATACCGAAGTAGGCAGTCCCAGCGCGCCTGCGCGGAGCGACCCTACGCGCAGTGAGGCTGTAGCGGGGGAAGGCACCGGTGGGGCCGACGGGCGGGCTGAAGAAGGGAAGCAGGCGAGCGAAGTCCCAGTGCGCGCCGCGGCGGCCCGGGTACCCTCCCCTTCCGGGCGTGAGGCGCTGCGAGGAGAGCTGAACCGAGCGGACTCAACACCGGCAGCGAGGCGCCGCTACCGTCGCCCCAGTCCGGCCTCCCTCGGCCTCGGCGTTCCCGTCGTGGGGGCCCGGTTTCCTCAGCACATTCAGCTCCAGCAGCCTGCAGAGCCTGTCCCCAGCCCTTCGAAAGCCCCGGCGCCAGCCCGGGCCCTTGGCGGGGAGGATGACGGAGCTGCAGTCGGCACTGCTACTGCGAAGACAGCTGGCAGGTGAGAGAGCGGGCGGGCGGTGGGGCGCCGGGCCGCGATCGTGGCGAGCCGCTGCGGCTTACCTCCTTCTCTCTTCCCGGACCGGCGGCCGGACGGCTGAGGGGGAGCGGCAGCCGCCGGCGAGGCCGGGTAAGGGCTCACGAGGGTGGGGAGCCCGAGGCGCCGGTCTCGGTCGGGCCCAGCACTTCTTCCCCGGCTTTCCGAGGGTATTGGGGGCGGGGACGCGCCCCAGCCTCAGCGCTGGGACGGGGCCTGGCGCTCGGTGGAAGGGAGGGGAGGCTGTCCCCTCCCCCACTGCGGGGTGGGACGTTGCGGGGGAGGGGCTGTGGATCCCTGGCCAGGACCGACCCTCCCAGGAGGGGCGGGTCCGGGTCTCAGGTGTTGCCGAGGCCGCCGGACCTCTTGGGGGTAGAAAGGAGAGTCTGGGCCCGCCTAGCTGCGAGTCCCTCGGCTCGGGTGTCTGAGCCGCGGGCGGGCTGCGGGTGGCGAGAGTAGGCGAAGAAACTGGCCCCTGGCCGGATAGGTGAGGCGCGCAAAACTTCTGCCGGGGCAGCTCCGGGTTCGCAGAGTTGTGGCGGACAACAAAGCGCCTCCGTGGCCTCGTCACTGGCGCGCGGGGTCTGAGGACCCAGCGGGGTGTGGGACGCCGCCCGGCCTGCCTCTGCCTGGCACGGGCTCCGGCTGCGCCGCCCGGCTGGGGGAGGGTAGGAGCGGGCCGAGCGGAGAGCCGCTTGCTGGCCGGCTCGGGGCTTTGTGCTTGGAGCGGTTCCGACTCTTGCGCAGGCCTGCAGAACCGCGGGACTGCGGCCTGCGGGCTCTGGCTTGGGGCGGAGGCCGGGTCTGCCTCCCCAGGGGTGCCTGCGGCCCCCCTCCCCCATTGTCCCGGCCTCCGGCCGTTTGCGGCTTCCAGGTTGACTTTTTAGGGGGTTGGCTCCTAGTCTGCTAGGACTGTGCGAGTGGAGCATGCGCGCTGGAGACGTACGTGTGCGAGAGTGAGGGGGGAGGCGGGTTGGTGGCTTCACAATGCCGCCCCACGTGCTGCCAGATTTAAAGAGAAATGAACCAGCAGTTACCCCTGCTGTCCAGCGCCCAGCGTGTGTCCTTTTCAGTTCAGGCGGGTTTTCACCTCCCCCCGTACAGTCAGCAGCCCTTAGCCGTCGGCAGAAGCCAAAGGCTGGAATGAAGAAATCTGTTTTTGAATTAGAATTACTGCGAATTTGGGGTGTTAAATCATCTTTATGGCTTCTTAGGAAAAGGTTGTAAGGGGCTGGTACATATTGTATAATTAGGTTTATTATTAGACCATGAGCAAGCAAGTTTGGACAAGTGTTAAAGTTCTGGATGCTCAGAGGTAGTGACTTGGTGAATGGAGAAGTTCTAGCGATACCTATGTCTATCATGAAAAATGTATTGGAAAAATAGTGGAAGAATAATAACCTTTTGTAACTTATATTTTTAAACACCTTTTCTGTGTAATTTTAAAGTTTGTTTTGGACGAAGGAATTAAGATGTCTCCCTAAGAATTCTTTAATCAGTAAGTTATTTAGTGAACTAATAAACAATATGAATATACTAAATTGTTACTAAAATAGTACTTACATAATGAGAAAGATACACATTTTAAAAGATGTAGAAGTTTTGACACAGTGAGAAAGTATGAATAATAACAGTGTTAGTAGCAACATTTTAAATCTATTTTTTACCCATTTATGAACTAGCTGTAGATTTTGATAGCTGCTTGGTTCAGTTTTGCACCTTTTTTACAAGAGTAATCTCACATATTGATAAAGCATTTCCCAAAGATCTTTACTAATTGTTGACATTTTTGATACGGGACACTATGCTTTAAGATCGGAGAAGAGAATGATTTAGTTTGTAATTTTTCAAGCCTCATTAAAGTTACTTGGTTGCTTTTACAAAATAGAGGCCAAAGTAGTGCATTAAGTCAAATGTAAAAATATCAAGTTTACTGGAAAGACTTGATAACAACTACACACTAAAATAAATGCCCTGTTGTATTTTAGTAGTGCATTGAGCTCTGTGGTTCTTCAAATATCATTTAAAAACAGGAAAGGATAGTAATCTGTAATCTCTTGAAATCTTTTAGAGTGCACTTTTGGAAGGCTTTATAATAAGTATTAAAAATCTTGAAATGTATTGAATTTAGTAGACACACAAACCTGTAAGCCTGTCTAGCTGCTAGAATTTCAGAAATTATAGCAGTGGCCAACAATGGTTACATTTATTAAGCCTATAGCATACTGGTCCTTAAGGACTTTAGTTCATTACTTGAGGGGAGAATTTATTGTTTGTTTTGTTTTGTAGGTAACTGAAATGAAGAAACTTGTTACTCTCAAAGTTGAGCAGAATGATTCCTTGGGTTGCAGAGTTTCTCACCTCAGCTCTACTGACTTTTTGGGTGGATTATTGTTGTGTGGTCCTATATTGTGCATAATAGACTGTTAAGCAGCATTGGCCTCTATCCACCAGATGCCAGTAGTACGTGCCTTCAGTTGTGACAGCCAAAAATGTCTCTGTTGCCAGATGTCCCCTGAGGGACAAAATCATCCCAGATTGAAAAATCACTGGTTTAAGGTGTTTTTTTTTTAAGACCATGTGGATATTGTAAAGGAAATAAGAATACCTAACTAGATTCCTGAAATCAGATAGGTTGTGTATTTCTTTGTGGATATTATTAGACTATGACTTTATTCCTTTCTTTGAATTTAGCAGTGGCTTTTTAGCTTTTTCAGTGCATTATGCTAAACACTAAGAAATCCCACAGCACAAGAGATAATTTTAAATAATTTTATTTTTAAAAATGTACTGTAAGTACTGGATAAATATGCAGAGTACAAGAAGGTATATAGTCTTTCTATCCTGACCTCAAGTTCTTTGCTTGGAAGCAACCATCATTGATAATTTCTTGTGTGTCTTTTCAGAGAGATTCTTTTATATGTGTTTATATGAGCTAACGATTACTGAGGACTAATAGGTACCAGGTGCTGAGTGCTTTACATGTATTATCTTATTTAACCCTCTCAATAAGAAATAGAGGCTGAGAGAGGTTAAGTAACTTGCCCAAGGTTACACAGGTAGTAATTGGTGCTGCTAGATTCATATTCAGGACTTTCTTTGAGAGACTTTGTTGTTTTTAATTGGCTATATTGCCTCCCAGGGAGCAGTAATTACCACAATCAGGAAATACTTTTTTATAAATTTAAATATTCAAAGTTTTATTCAGTAAATACCAAAATGAGAAAAGTCTCACCTTAATAAAATTAAATACATTAAAATAATATGCATTAAAATCTAAGTGATTTTAAACATTTTAGTCATTGTTAATTTAAGACCAGCATTCTGCAGAATCAAGGAAAATATCTTTGAATTTAATGTCATAGACTGAAAATAGCACTAAGCATTTTAGTTTTGGCAATTAACTCTGAGAAAAAAAATTGGGACTGGGTTCCTACTCTAACTGTACTAAATTTTACTATAAGAGGAAGCTTTTTTTTTCTTACGATCACTTGAGGGTTTTTTTTTTAAACATTGATGACATTGTCTTTCAGGAGTTCTTGCAGGTGCCTGTCATCCCAGAACTAGGAAGAAGAATCTCTTTATGCAATAACAATGAAATAATCGAGCTGCTTTTACTGTAGAAATTTTGATTACATATTTTAAAATAATCTGGAAAACTCCCCAAATTTTTTCTCCTTGGCTACCCATGTAAGTAGGTTATTGTAATGAGTGAGTTATGCATGTTTCTCAGACATAATGTGCAGTAAAAATCACTTGGGAGTTTCTTAAAAATACAGATTTCTGTCCTCATCCCCACAGTCTGCATGTCTTGATGGGGCTCAAGGAAACCTAATTTCTACAGCAGCTTTTTGGGTGGCTCTGAAATACGTGTTTTGGGCTACACTGCAGTAAGCGCCCCAAGCAGCGCACATCCCCCCCCACCCCAAATCAGGACTGTGTGCAGGTAGCCCAGTGCCTGCTGTTTGTGATGGGCTGTGTTTCATGAGCATCTCTGATGTTAATGGGATATTGAAGAATACTTTTGAAAGGAGGAGGTAGAAAGATTTAATATTTCTTATTGGCCTTTCTAGAATATATTGGCATTTTGACATATAGTTGCATTAACAATCTTAAACAAGCAGAAACAGAGTAATTGATTATTGACAGGGACATAATTTATTAATAGGGACACCCTAGGGGTAGAAGATTCTGGGCGATGAGCTACATATTAATAATGTTAACATTAATAATTGTCAACCCACATTTAGAAATGGAAGAGAAGTCTAAAAGTAAATTTCCATTGCATCAAACTACTAATTGTTTAACAGAGTTTGGAAATTTTTATATCCAGAAATCATAACACTATTATAGAAAGAATGTAGCTACTACATGTACTCAGTATGCTGTCAGAAAAAAATCATAAACGCTGTGGTTGAGGGAAGGGTGTAGGATGATTTACAATCCCTGTAGTGGAGGGAGGATCAAGGAATTATTTCTGATGTGTTATGTTAAAGACCTTTAAAAAGTCTCATTTTGCAATGTATACATATAGCAAATCATTGTTATACACCTTAAATTTTCACAATATTATATGTCAGTTATATCTTAAAGCTGGGAAAAGGTCTTTAATTTTTTGATGAAGAAGTGAATTTCCTTAGCAGTAGGGAGTAGATGATCTTTAAATTACAATTTTTGTTATTCAGTGAATATTCTTGATAGCGAAATTTAGTTTTGATAAGTAATGATAGTTTAATTTTCTATAAATAAACTACATCGGACTGACAATATTTTCTGCATAGTCTTTTACAGTGGATTACCTCACTTTCTAAAATACTGCTGAATATATTAAACTGTTGAAGTAAGTGCTATAATTCATAGATTTTAGTATATTAATATGATCAACTGTATTTACTGTAAAGTAGTACCAAAGTGTATACTTTTATTATATAGTTTATATAAGTTAATACACATTGTATTTGGTG